TGTAAGTCGGTTAAACTATCGCCAAATATGTAACTTACTAAGTGTTTTGAGTATCTGCCCCCAGATAACAACAAGAGAAAAATTTTAAACCAATTATTTCCCATTATACTTTATGGCAACAGTAAGGCCGATACAGGAATACTCGTGGGATGTCGTTGAGTATGAATATACCAATATATTGTATGACTTACTTGACTTAAGTCCCATGTGGAGGGTTCCAGGTCGTGTCCCTTCTGATGCGTTTATATTGTTACCATCCCTGTCTGTTTTCTTGCCAAGTCTGTCCTTACACGCCTGTTTTATGTTCAGCGTTTCCCTCTCAAGGGTCTTCAGCCCTTCCACTTTCCCCTACATAATCTTCATTGGTAGTCTGTCCACTCCCATCCTTTCCATACGTCCATACCATCTTAACTCTGCGTCTCTCACGCTGTCCAATAATGTTATCCGTAAGTCTGATAATTCTCTCACGAAGTCGTTTCTTCGGCTTTGGAACTAATGAATCTGACAGATTTTTCTCAAACAATACATTTCAAAGGCCAATAATTTCTTCTTTTCCTTGAGTTTCAATGTAAAACTCTCTGATCCATACATTAATGTAAATAGTCAGCTTAGCTTTCAGGATTAAACTTATAGTATCATCTTTCCATTTTTGTTTTAATTTGTCCATTGTAGCATGGCCCATTTTTTTTCAAATATCACCCTGTGTTCATCCCTGTCTTCCGTAACCTTATATTGTATACGTTTACGAAAATATATGGCCGTCTCCGTGAGGCTCCTGCCAATAATGTGTTAGTTTGAAATAAGAAAACAATAATTCAGTAATAATAATAATAATAATAATAATAATAATAATAATAATAATAATAATAATAATAATAATTATAATAATAATAGTACGCTTTAACCGCAAGGCCGCACTGCACAACATCAAGATCAAGTGTCCAAGCTTTGCAATGTATGTTGAAAACTCCTATAGTAAACAACTAGGCTCTAAGAGGTGATACCATCATACAGTCAACCGAGGAAACAACGCAGGGGGACCCTGTTGCAATGGCAATGTACGCAATAGGCCTATCCGTGCTCCAACACACAATAAAATTTGAAACAACTGAGGTCAAACACGTGGCGTACGCTGATGACCTTACAGGAGCAGGAAAAGTGAAGGACATCAAAAAGTGGTGGGACCTGGTAACATAGCGAGGCCCACAAATAGGGTACCACCCAAACGCCAGCAAGTCCTTCCTCATTGTGAAGCCAGAAAATTATGAGCGGGCAATGGAGGTGTTTGGCAGAAGTGAGGTCAAAATAACAAAGGAAGGCCAAAGACACCTAGGCGCAGTAATCGGCACGACTGAGTTCAAGACCGAGTACGTAACGGAAAAGGTGAATGAGTGGGTTAGTGAAATCCAAGCACTGTCTGAGATTACTAACACAGAGCCTCATGCTGCTTTTGCAGCATTCACTCATGGAGTCAAGTATCGCTGGAACTACCTGATGCGCACTATCCCTGATATTGATCCCCTCCTCCACCCTTTGGAAGAAGCGATCAGCGTCAATTTCATTCCCAAATTAGTGAAACATCCTCACTTATCCCCAGCAGAAAGATCACTACTTGCACTATCACCGAGACTGGGAGGTATGGGATTGACCATTCCAGAGGAGATTGCTGCCACCGAACATCAAAACTCAGTTAAGCTCACCGCAGCCCTCACTGACCACATAATAGCCCAGAACGCAACAGGGGATGTGGATACCAGTGAAGTAAACAAGATTCGAAGGTCCATTACGACAGAACGACAGCACAGCCAAAGTGATAAGTTGCAGCAACTGTTGTTGCAAGTACCAGAGAATTTGAAAAAAAAGTAGCTATAGAGCAGGAAGTGGGCGCCTCGAACTGGTTGACTATGTTACCGATAAGGGCAAATGGTTTCAGTCTCAATAAACAAGAATTCACAGATGCCATTGCTCTAAGGTATGGTAGGCCAGTAGAAGGTTTGCCCTGCCAATGCATGTGCGGCTATTTCTATGACGTCGATCACGCCATGGTGTGCAAGAAAGGGAGCTTCATTTGCATGAGGCATGACGAAGTAAGGGATCTCACAGCAATTCATTGATATGATTTCTTCATTATTTAAGCAGATATATGAATATTTGGAAACGATGAATAGTCTATTATTATAAAAATGCTAATTTTGGATTGTTTAATATTTATCCTGACAGTGATACAGCCGAAAATAAATACACCAATCACAATCCCCATTACATAAAGCATTCCTTCCTTCAAGTAGTGCCAGGTAAAATTGCGAGTACGAGAGCCAGGTTGGGGTCGATGGAACTTGGCTGACTGTACATCCCCAGGTATTTGTAGACATCAACCTTTTCTAGCCTTAATCCATTCACAAATATATCCTCTTGTTCATAATATCTGACCTGATATTTAGCTTTTAAATTGTTATTGCAAGGTCCATTCTACAACACAGTGTACTCAATGCATCTAAAGCCTCTTGCATGTTTCTCATACTTTACACTATAAAAGTATATCATGAGCATATATTATAACCCTGTGTGTCTCCAGGAAATTCATAGCGAGCCATTATGTTTATCAATATGTTAAAAAGAGTGGGGCTAAGTACACCTCCCTGTAGAGTCCCCGACTCAATCTGGTGTGGGCGAGTAATGAGCGAACCAACCATCCAAACCAACGTATTCTATACCCAGAACAGAAACTTATGGCGGACACTCGTAACATAGTATTATTATTATAATTATTAATAATAAAAATAATAATAATAATAATAATAATAATAATAATAATAATAATAATAATAATAATGATAATAATAATAATTATAATAATAATAATAATAAGGTTTTAATCATCGTAACCTCAGACACCACAACGTTTCGTCATACCGGTAAACACTAGATGTACAGTAGATATCTCTCTTCCTGTGACATTTTTAGTGCTTCTCCAGCCACACAGTTACTCTACCAGTGATGGTAAACTGGTTGTGTGTCAGTGTTCATTATGTAGTGTATCAACAGCCATCATTGCACAGTTTCTCGCGATTATTTCTTATAAAAAAATTATGAAAATAATACAAAACTGTTGTTTAACAATACAATAAGCGTAAAACTACCAAATGACACATATCTCACTGGTTAAACCTGACTCACAACTGTTGTGGTACAACTTACTGACTTACGCCTGTTGTGGTACAACTTACTGACTCACGAGTGTTGTGGTATAATTTACTGACTCACGAGTGTTGTGGTACAATTTACTGACTCTTGACTATTGTGGTACAACTTACTGACAATTGAAAATTGTGGTACAACTTACTGACTCAAGACTATTGTAATGCAACTTATTGACTCACAACTATTGCGGTACAAATTACTGACTCACGACTGTTGCGGTACAACTTACTGACCCACGACTATTGTGGTACAGCTTACTGACCCACAACTCTTGTGGTACAACTTAATGACCCTTAACTGTGTGACGACTCTGCCCCCTTCTCACTCTACCACCATAACCATCAGTTGCTCCAACTTGAAACCTGGAGAAGAAACTGCTTCACAAAGCTACTCGACCCCAGTGAGCACCGATTCAGAACCAGTTTCCCATCCGACAATGAGTCTGAGGTATCGAGGCAAGTGTGTCTGCCTGGTAAGCTTAGTCTCTTCTCTGCGATGTGGTGTTCCTCTTCCCCCGGGGTGTGGACAAAGAATTGTATTACGGACTACTGCTGGTGGTGCTGTGTTGGTCTGATAGCAATGGACGTCGGCGGTAATCCCTGGTTCCTTGTGGTTGGCCATAGCAACCTAGATTTGCTACCTGAGCTGCCATTTCTATCAGATTTTTGTGTTGTTGTATATAGTATGTGTATTTAAAGTTAATTTACCAATTACGTCTTGCTTAATTGGCCCTGCTAACGGTCTTGTAACTACGCAAATTTGCCAGGTGAAAGTCTCCCAAGTCTGGTTGCAAAGGAATTTTGTTCCCGATACCAGTAGCTCATTTTTGCACTTGGATGATGTGGTGTGTGTGTTACATACACCTGACAATCACTGGTAACCAGCTGTTGACTTAATATACTCTACTCCACCACACACCGTTATCTTTTTAGAGTAAAGTAAACTGAAAAGAACCTAACCCCCCCCCCTATAAGCCGACTTGAGACTCCCTCTGTTGTGGGTAGCAAGGAGGGACATTACAACAGTTATGGTTTAACCTACTGACTCGCGACTGTTGTGGTACAACTTACTGACCCACGACTGTTGTTCTACAACTTACTGACCCACGACAGTTGTTCTACAACTTACTGGCCCTTAACTGTTATGGTTTTACTTACTGACCCGCGACTGTTGTAGTACAACTTACTGACCCATGACTGTTGTGGTGCAACCTACTGACTCACAACCGTTGTGGTACAACTTACTGTCTCACGACTGTTGTGGTAGATTTACTGGCGCGCGAGCATCGTGGTACAACTTACTGGCGCTCGAGCGTCGTGGTACGACTTACTGGCGCGCGAGCGACGTGGTACGACTTACTGGCGCGCGAGCTTCGTGGTATGACTTTACTGACACGCGAGCGTCATGGTACGACTAACTGGCGCGCGAACATCGTGGTACGACTTACTGGCGCGCGAACGTCGTGGTGCTACGACTTATGGCGCGCGAGCGTCGTGGTACGACTTACTGGCGCGCGAACGTCGTGGTGGTACGACTTACTGGCGCGTGAGCTTCGTGGTATGACTTTACTGACACGCGGGCGTCATGGTACGACTAACTGGCGCGCGAACGTCGTGGTGCGACTTACTGGCGCGCGGGCGTCGTGGTACGACTTACTGGCGCGCGAACGTCGTGGTGGTATGACTTATGGTGCGCGAGCGTCGTGGTATGACTTACTGGCGCGCAAACGTCGTGGTGGTACGACTTAGGTGCGCGAGCGTCGTGGTACTAGGTACTGGCACGCGAGCGATGTGGTACTGGCGCGCAAGCGATGTTCTCGATCTCACTAACACAGTGTTTCAGCTGCAAATTTATTGACCCGTGATAACTAGTTTAAAAAAATAATATTCTTTATTGGCTCCTCATCCATTATAGCTAGAAGGCGCTGGGCACTTAAAATTCCCTATTAAAAATTGCCACTATCTTTAATAACATAAATTACCTATGCTGAGATACATGTAGACATTGTAGATAAAACTAAAACTTGGCTTATCATATGAGAGAAAACCAGCCTCCTCTATAAGCTTAAAAACTCCGTCCTTTAGGAATGAAACATCTGCACCAAATCTGCACCCCTTCCCGACTGCAGGCGAGACATCTCAGTCAAGGGATCATGTTCGCATCACATTCTGGTTGGGTCTCCAGGACCATTAGGTAACCGTGGGTCAACTAATATGCCAGGGTAGTGTCTCATTTACTAGGTATTTGTGCATGCACCCAAGGGCGTATCACCGTCCTAGTAACCTAATCTCCCAATGCTAATTGTTCGGGCCAACAACGGCATCACAACAACGCTGCCAGACAATACAAAATATAGCATTAATCCGAGGACGACATCCCGATTGGTGACTAGTTAACCTTCGGCTGCGGGAGGTTCCTCTTTGCTGAATAAAATCGTCTGGCGGTCGCCTGAATAAAATTATACAGTGAGGGAATCGCATCGAAATGGTTAATTGTTACAGTGTTTAAAGAAAAGGGGCTGAACGGGACACGTTGGTCTTGACCATCTTTTCATTTCCTGACAATTCTACTATAGGGCTTCATGCACCAGTGCCCACACTGAGCAACTCGCCATGGAGCGGTAACTGCAACAGAAATACTTGGATACTTATAATGTGGACACAGTGAGCCAGTGTAGCTATGTGTGTTATTTAGTGGGAGGATATTCACGCACTGCTCGCCAGATTCTGGTGTTCATTGTTATTCCACAACAATGGGCAAATATTCTAAGAAAGCATCAGAGGTAAGAAACCAACCATGTATTATTGTTCCTTATTAATATTTTCCTCAATTACTAATACTAAACAGTTACTGGGAATATATTTATTTGTGTGTTTGTAAGTGTATTAGTTTTGTTTCTTGAATTTAAATTGTAAAAATATTTCGAAAATAATGTTACTTTATAGCCTTCGTGCTTGACTATTACTCTATCAGTTCTGGATTGGCTAAGTGTTCTGGTCTAGCACCAACTCCCTTCTTAATACTCTTTCATTAACAAAACAGTTTTATTAATTTTTATGCAAATACTTCAACCCTCCATAGGTAAATGGTGGGTATTGGTAGTGGTTGGGAAGAGAGTGTTTCTGGTAGGGATAGTGCTAGGTGGAGGAGGTGAATTATTGATGGTGGTGATGGTGGTGATGGTGGGGATGGTAGAAATAACAGTGATGGAATAAAAGGTTGGTGATGTAGATGGTGGTTGGTGGTGATGAATGGTTAAGGGGTGTTGTTGGTAGCGAGTTTGGGTAATGGTAGTGCAAATTTTGGTAGAGGGTTTCGGTTGTAGAATTAAAGTGTGGTTATCGGGCTGGTAGAGATAATGAATGGTCGTACCGGTGATAAGAAAGATGGTGAGGGGGGGGTGGTAGACATTAATTGTGGTGATGGTTGGTGGTGATTGTGGTGGAATATACTGTATGGTTGTTGGATGTAGTTATGGAAATTTGTTTTGGGTGTGGAAATTTACGATAGGTCGTGTTGGTGGTAGGTCGTGTTGATGGTGGTAAAAAAAAGTTGGTTGGGAATATTGGTGTAATTTTTATTCACGATGGTCTTGGTCGATTATTGTGGTGGATATGGTTTGGCAGTTTTGGGTCGACATCGTCCTTGACCCACGATGTGTCCAATCTATGTGATGGTGGACTGGCCGAATTGGGACTTCGTCAGGTTGATAGTCATGCCTACCTCGTTCAAGCTCTGTAGGAGAGCTCAAAGGCGGGCGACGTGAACATCCCACGTTTCTGAAATGTCTAGTTCCACCACCATCTCTTGGGACTAGTAAGGAAGGAGAAGCCCTTGGGGAGGAGCTGGATACCACCCGATCTTGCTCCAACAGGTAGAAAACTTCGTACTTCATCTTGGCCTTCTTTTCTGGACAGAGTCGGCAAGGAGTCTGTCGTACAAGATGGGATTTAATAGAGAGTTCGATATCATGGCGAACATTATGATATCTACCAGGACCATCCCTGTATATACCCGAGTTATCTTTTATTTTATTCCGCCTGCTCTTGAACAGTCAAGTTTGGCAAGTATTCTTTAATGTTGTTTATTATACAAGAGTTATCTTTCCTGTTTCCTACAATAGGACTATCCTCCCCAACCAAGTCTATGCCCTCAACAGAAAACGCCTGATTGGTGAGGACAGGTCTCTCACCCGAGTCACCCTGAGGATTCCTTCAGCGATACAATTTCATTAAGTTAAGATGGTCTAGTTGAGAATCCTTTCTATGGTCAGTAGTTAGAACAACGTAGTTTACTTATCTAATTGATGAGATACTTTATAAGGGCCTTGGTATTTACATTTGAGGGGTGAGCCTGGAACAGGCGAATACAGTAATACATCATCTCCAGAATTGAATTTACTGATTTTAGCCTTTCGATCATAAATACTCTTCATCTTACTTTGAAATATATTTAAGATATCTAGTGCAATTTGTCTTATTTTACTTAATTTGGATTTAAGATTATCAAGATATTGACCAACAGTCTGATTAGGAATCTCTGCAACTTAACTAAACTATTGTTCTTTTATGACTTTAAGGGCTCCTCTTACTTGACGACCATACAATATTTCGAATGGTGAGAATCCAAGTGATTCGTGTCGGCATTCTCTAATTGCAAAGAACATGAAATGAATTCCTTCGTCCCAATCAGTTTTTGTGTAAAAAAGATAATTTGCTAAGCATGGATTTCACTGTACCCTCACACCTTGACCACAGAGTCATCAATTAAGTAGCCGGCTACAGCGAGTTCAACTCCCGTCTCTGAACCACTGAGATGTGTGGTATAAGAAGCTAGTTATACCCAAGCTTCGTTCATTATTAACGCTCACAGCTCATAGCGTTAATTACGGTGATATCCCAGTTATTGTGCAATAATTTATTTTCTTAATAAATTTAGAAAAGATCATTTGGGTTTGAAAACTTAACCCAACATTTATGAATGTTGCTTCCAGTTCACATCTAATTATTGACTCCATAGGTAACCGGAAACTGCATCATAAAAATGGCAGCGGTTCTTCGAATCTATGAACAAAAACCAGTATTTTATGAAAAATACCTCACTATTTTTGGCTAAAGTTTGACATTCTCCATTTTTCCACATTATATCTACCTTTCTGAGAAATGGTAAATTTTAGGTGAACACTTGTGATATCCCAGCTCAACATACAAGTTTCTATTATTGGTATTTTAAGTGATATAATACAATTGATCACTTCATATTTGGCAACACTGTACAAACCAGTATTATTACACCCTGTAACTCTGTCTTCAAGATGTTCTCATAACTGTTTTCGACTACTAAGCATAACAATTCAGCAAGCCTTCTCTCCCAGCGAGCAGAAGCACCCCAGCACCAAGAAGCACCCCAGCATGAATTAGCAATCAGGCCCCCCCACGGTGAGCCTACCCTAGACTTCAGCTCAGTGTGGTTTGATTGGTCAACATCTGGCTCAGCACTCTTTCGACACTTGGTCAACACTCTTGGCGGCTGCTCCCAGTGACCCACCATGTGATCCACTGTGTGACCCACAGTGTGACCCAGTGCACCCGGCTTCCATCGGACAGCTATCTTTGACCTCGCTTAGGTCATCGTATCTGCCAGTCCCTGGCAACTACTATGTCATTGATGTCATCTTGGACACGTCAACGATGCCATATCGGAAACGTCACTCTACTGTCATAGCAAGTCGCCATCTTGGATGTTCAATTTTATAAACAAGGAGTGATCGTGACATCTTTCTCACCAGCTGTGAGGCTGCACCCCGCAGAACTCTAAGGACTTCAAGACAAGAACTTCACTCAGGTCTTTGCACTTCACTCAGGTCTTTGCACTTCTCTTAGGTCTTGGCACTTCACTCAGGTCTTTACACTTCACTCAGGTCTTTCCACTTCACTCAGGTCTTTGCACTTCAAGCAAGTCTTTGCACTGCAAGCAAGTCTTTTCACTTCAATCAAGCCTTCGTACTAGGTATTTCACAGACATGCAGTAGATTTTTACACAGTAAATATATTCTACAGCATACCATCACACGTCAGACGTCGTGGTAGGCTAGTTTTTTTAGTTTATAAGTGCCTTACCTGATATATTACTGACGTATTATAATCTAAGTACTATATTTTCATTTACTCATTTACTTACAATTTAATTAATTTACTATAAATGGGTGGGAAAGGTTATTTTTTAATTTAATCTTATTTGATCGAATTTATCATTTATGGATGCTTTATTTCATTTATCTGGTTCAGACATTACGCATTTAGCAAAAAGATTACTCTGTTCATTTCCTCTACCTATCAATCCCCAGTGTGTCAGGAGAGTATACCTCCTACATATTCTATTCCTCCAGTGACATCTTAAGTTGTCTAACACCCAACTAATAATGGCGAGAGCTGGCTAAAGCATGTTTACTAACTCTTCCATTGTATTTAAACTGTTGCCCCAGCATGACCGCATTCACGAGATCACAGTGGACGATGGTTATAACAGTTGCATTTTTACTTTCATATGAGGATGTTGTGCAGAACATTGCAATCGTGGAAGATGGGGATCACAAGGACGGCACCACATCATTAGAGCAGTTTGTATGCTGTGTTGAAATTACAACGATTGTATTATGTTCACGAGACCCGGCATACAGTTGAGCTAAGTTTGATGATTATGCCCAGTTTAATACAATATTTTCTCACGCAAGTAAGATCCCACTGGCCGGTACGGTTACACCTGTGGCGCCAGTTCATCACAAATGATTCCGAGGATACTAGCACGAAACCTAAACAGCAACTGTTAAGCAAACAATGTAACGCTAATAGTCATGTTATTGACTATTGTTGTCAGCTCCAGCAAGGTGGTAACATATCCAAACACCACACAACCCCTACAGCAAATTCAAGACCACGTCGACACCAACCTCGGTCCCATTCAGCAGTTGTTCAGACCAAGTCTACTACTGTACCGACAGGTGATATGTGGTGTATATTACACGACTCTACCTCATGTAATTCCAGAAACTTTGTAACTCTTCAACGGTGTAAGGATTCGAGGTATCATAGATAGCCACGACGTGAGGTTGTCGCTATTATAAGTCGTTGGGGGAAGACAACCGTCTTGTTCAACAAGACGCATGATAAGTACAGCCATAACAACGTAAAGCAGCACTTATAGTGCAGCTTCGTTAATCGTGGCATTGAATAAAAGAGAAGTGTTGTCTGTTCCGGTGAGAATGGGTACGAGCGCTCTTCCCTAGATATAGATAATGGTGTGTGTGCAAGTGTACTCTCATTAACGTCTCTCAAGATCTACAGTGATATTCACATCACCGAGGATTTCAAGTTCGACCTACTGACACTGGTCTTTTAGGAGTTTTCGGTGTTCACCTGGACATTGTACTACCTCTACGTTTTTCTAGATGTGGTAAGTCATATCCGGTAGTGTGTTACTGTAAAGGCCTAGGACTTGAGGATAGAAATCCCTTACCAGGCTAATCAGGATCTTAATAAAGGAAAGTCAAGGACCATGGTTTTCCCGAGGAATAACAAACAACCGTTCGAGATTGGCATCTCTTTACTATAAAAATATAACACAAAACTCTGACACCACTCAACAATCATCAAATAATTACGGGAGTCAAACAATTAATGGAAGCAACAATTAAAGGAATCAAACAAATAATGGGAGTCAGCAATTAATTGAATCAAACAATTAAATGGAGTCAACAATTGATAGAATCGAACAATAAAGGGG